ACACACACACACACACACACACACATTCTCTGAGGACAATATTTTTTGTGGAACTTTAATATTTGGTAGATTAAATGTATTTTGTAACTAAATTAAAGATACTAGTAATACATGGTTATATTTGCAATTTCATCTATTTAGAATAAAGGGTATACATTTGTATTGTAAAAATAATAACAAACAGCGGAAGAGAAACATCACATTTTTTTAAAATAAGTGCAATGAGTTAATATACTAAAATTCAATTAGAATGCTTACATTTATGACAAAAATGTGTTGGATATATAGATCAGTTTTATTCACAAGTGTCAGAAAATGTTCTTCATTACTTAAAAAAAAAACAGCTGCCAGTGACTTGCTCAATTTTTGAATGTGCTTCCTTGAAATCAGTGTTTGATTTTTGACTGATACCTACAATAAATATGCATAGCTCATATTTGACAAGCAGTAGATTTGTTCTGCAAAGTGCAAATACCTTGGATGTACTGTCTTGTGCAACAGTCTTAGGCACTTGTGCAAAAATGCTATAAATTAAGAATGCTTTCAGAAACAAGTGTTAATTTTTATCGATTAACAAAATGTAAGGTAAATGAAAAGACAAATCCATATTAAATGAATATTTGGTGTGGACCACCCTTGCTTTTAAAACAGCATCAATTCTTACACTTGCACAAAGTCAGGGATTTTGTAGGATTGGAATCAGGTATATGATTAACCAATTATAACAAGCAGGTGCTAATGATCATCTATTTCATACGTACTGTATTTCTAAACTACTCTTAGAAAAAAACAAAGTAGATTCTGATTGTTCACTTTTACCCTTTATTAGCCTCTTTTCTTTGGAGAGAAAAGAAACCCCAAAGTGGAAGATTCCATGATTTCAAAAGATAATTACCTTTGGGTTTTGTAAGGTGTTTTGTAAGGAGCCAATTACACATTGAATTAATAGTGTGGTTTTTGATGAGTAATTTTGAAATTTAATCCTAGAAAAAAGATAGTTTCCATTGAGAAGATAAGGGAAGTTCAGTTTTATCCTCATAGCCTGGTTATTCCCAAGGAAGTGTGTGCAACTGCAGTTAGATTTACGAAACAATGATCTCCAGTCTTTGGAGTTGGATGGCCTATAAGTTGCATAAATTAAATGATATTTTTTCATTAAGGGTAATTATTAAAAGGCAAAACATTTTAGCATTTTCTCATGTAAGTAAATGGTATGCATATTCCTTAAATTTTTAATGTTAGTTCACTTATTTTTATTAGTTTGTTCCCAGCAGAAATTAAAATAACATAGTTTGAAATATCTCACAATATGTTTAAAAAATTCTATTTTTCAGGTGGGAAGTTACTTATTGCACCAGTAATATTGGTTTTGGGACTGGTAGTAGGAGCTGTAGTTGTTCTAATAGGTAAGAGAAAAAGGTATGTTTTGAATTACATAATTTTCAAACTCAGGAACATATCGAATTCAAAGAAATTATAAATGGGGAAAGAAAAAAGGTTTCAGAGATATGGAATTGGATATCGAATTGGAAACTCAATTAAAATCACAATTAACTGTCTCTATCTATCTATCTATCTATCTATCTCTATCTCTATCTCTATCTCCTGAAATTCAACTTTTTATTTATCTATAAATCACACCATACAATTCAGTAACTGCACATCTGGAAGACAGATAATGATTATATTTAATATTTGAAGTAACAGTTCACATAATTGCACTTTAACACTGATTGTATTAGTTTAGGTTACATTAGGTTTTCATGAATTGAAAGAATTCGGATCCAGTGTAACATCTCAATAGTATAGGTAGATAATGACTTTTTTTCTGATTCATCTTCCTTTTTCAACTTACCTTGACTCTGTTTCCCAACAGATATAGTTGAAACTGCTATCTTCTTCCTATCATTATATGAAGATAATTTTTTAAAAAGTCATGAGTTAGATTAGAATAAGTAATTTCAGCACGAATCATTGAAAAACTAATGAACAGCACATTTTAAAATTCTCTTCCAAAACTAAAAGTCATAGTGAGAAGATACATTTGGAATTAAAAACCTGTTATAAATGTTGTATGTCACTCGGAGTCACATTGTCTGAGTTGGGCAGCCTTATAAATCTTGAAATGAAATGGTGGCTTTGTCCACCCACAATGATTACCATGCATGCTATAACCCCATTTCAGAATCTACCTATCATGCCAATAAAGCCTGTTGCTCTGATTTGTATTCATTTTCTGAGTAGATGGGCATGCTTCCAGGCAAAGTACTTTCCCTAACCATTTAGACAGGGGTGTCAAACTCACGTCACGGTGGCATCATGTGACATATCAGGACTTTTTCCCCCTTTGCTAAACTGGGCGTGGGCAGCGCATGATGCATCTGGCCTGCAGGGCAGGAGTACTTTCCTTAATCATTTTTACTTTCTTGGAAATATAGATGATGCTGGAGGCTGGCACTTGCTTTGCAGAATGAGAGTTTTGCTCTCTCTAGATTGTTTTTATTTTAAGATAAAACTGTGGGATTGGTGGATGTTAATGGTGATCTGTGGATAAATTTCACCTCTATATGCCAAGTCAGAGATAAAGTAAAATATGATTGTTACACTGTTAAAAAAAACCCTTGCACTTCATGTATTTAAAAAAGATATTGCTAGATCTCTTAGGACAAAACTTAAAAAAAGATGTCTTCAGTCATGAAGGGAAAGCTGAGTGATTTTTTTGTACATTCTGTAAATTCATCTTTTGGGAATATAGGCAATACCTTGGTTATTAACTGTCTTCAAATGCCTTCATTTGCATAATTTCCAGTGCCATTCAGCTGATTGGAAATTGCAAATTATACTCCAAGAGTAAAATTTCTGAAATGTTTACAATTGTTTTCAAATACCCAATATTATTCATTTCTAAGTATCTTTGTCAACAAATACTGTTCTTAGACAGATTAAAGGTATTGGTTATCCTATAACAACTTTTTATTTTTATAATGTTATAATATTTATATTTTATAAAGTAATTACTTTTAATATTTTCGGTGCTATTTCTGAATCATCATTTTTATTCATGATTTCATGAATCCATCTTCCCGTCAGCCATGTAGATACCCACTGGATGATTTTAGGCTGGGCCAGTTTAAGTCACCTGTGGTTATGGGAAGACTTTGCAGGAAAATGTGCTGCATAATGATCCTGAGCTCTTGAAAGAAAAGCAATAGTAATCTGAATAAAGAATGTTGCTCTAAAATTCTGTATTCTGAAGCAGGCATTTTCTTATAGAATAGAATAGAAAACCTTTATTGTCATTGCATTCAAAATACGATGAAATTTGAAAGCTACTCCAGCACAGTGCCCCAAACACCACATCACAATCACACTATTTAAAAAGTAAAATAATTAAAGTAATAATAATAATAATAATTAAAAACCTAGTCTAAAACCTATTTAAAATATATATTAAGTTAGATAGTTTTAAAATACTACTTTATACATAGAACTAAATCACAAATGTACTATTTGATTCAAGACAATTATTGCCTTGGAAAAGAAACTGTTTCTCAGTCTATTAGTCTTCATTTTAAGACACCTATAACGTCTCCCTGATGGTAACAATTCGAAATATGAATGACCAGGATGAGAACGGTCTGTGAAGATTTTTTGTGCTCTAGAGAGGAGTCTGATCTTCGCAATCTCTTCCAAAGAAGAAAGAGAGCAACTGATGATTTTTTGTGCTGTGTTTATAACTTTGGAGCATCTTCTTATCCACTACAGAGCATCCAGCATACCACACCATTACACAGTATGCCAAAATGCTCTCGATGGTAGAACGGTAAAAAGTAACCAGCAACTTCTCACCCAGACCACTCTTTTTCAGCAGCCTCAGAAAGTGCAGGTGCTGTTGGGCCTTCTTTGCAGTGGCCATAGTGTGGACCGACCAAGTAAGGTTGTCGGAAATATGAGTTCCTAGAAATTTAAAACTATGAACTCTTTCCACACAACTCTTATTTTGTGACATCAAGTTGTTTTCGGCTCTTAGTCAATCACTTTGATATTTTTTCTCAATGATGATCTTTCCATAACTTGTTTTTTCAAGTTTCCCAATGGTGTTGTCCCTATAATTGTCCCTATAATTGAGTCCATTCACCCTGCCATGCCACCTTGTCATCATTTTCTCTTTCCTTTCACTTTCCCCATCCTCAGAGCCTTTTCCAGAGAGCTGAATCTTCACATAATATGCCCAAAGTAGGATAATTTTGGCCTGTGCCAGATGAGGATTCTGGAGAATAACAGTTATGTGCACTTACTGAATTTTTCTTTACTTTACCAGAATACATTTATCCCAGTTCAAAATACACTTGTGTACAGTGGTATTGTGGGCATATGTTTAAAATGCAATGATTTCTCTTGTTTTTAATAGGTTTATTTGTGTTCCCCATCTATTGCCTTTGTAAAAAGAAGAAGAAAAGACCACAAACTGAAATGCCTTGGTACGAGTGAAGAGTTGTGCATCTGAATGGAGCTGATCCTGCAAGGCTTATGCAAAATAACAGCAACCAGCAATAGTGTGTTTGTTAACTATCTTGATATCACAGCCCTGGCAGAGATTAGGGGGCCATCTGCCATATTCTTATTGCACTGTACACTACTGAAGACAAGTCAGAATTTTGCTCAGACCTGGGGCCTCAGAAGTTTTTTTTTTAATTCCCAAGCCAACTGCCTAAGGTTTAGTTCAGCTCTTCTTTCTTGAACAGCTTATATCTGCACTGTAAATGCCTATCTACTGATGAGCTCATGAAAGGAGTATATAATTCAGCAACATTTTCTCCAGTTATTGATAATAATTCTGGAACTTTTACAGAAGCAATTCGAATGAAGGTGACTTCTCTTCAGAGGTTGGTTTCATGTGGGCAGTTGATTAAAAGTATTATGTTAAATGATTTTTATGGTCATCAACACTATGATGATTGGATCCATCTGGTACTGAATGGAGTAATTGTCTTAGATGTGAAATTTTGCCTAATAATGAACCATAATATTAGCTGTTGACAGATATCCAGAATAGAAATGAGAAATGATTAGAACAGCATCAATATCTCATACTTTACTACTGTTTAAAAAGTTGGCAGAATTAGCTTGGATGTTTGGGAGATAATGTCATCCATTTATCGTGTTTTGAATTGTATAAGGAATTCACTGTGTCTAACCTAATTAGAGAAAGACAAAAAGCCTGCTCTTTGTGGTTGTTCGGTAGTGTCTGATGCAATGCAAGCTTTTCATACATATCCGCACCAGAAGACAGTAGAGTGATCATAATCTAATATGCCACAGAAATCAAGATGTTTTGAAGAGCTAGGAAAAGAAATAATCTTCCTTCAGATAGTTCTTCACAGTGTTCAGCAAAGTCCATTATAGAAAGTAACACTTTGCTCTGAAGAAATCAACATATATTACATTTCCACCAAACTGTATCAGTTTGTCTAAAACTGTGTTTCCAGTTCTTCCCTAGGAACATCTAGAAATGTTGTAGTTCCAGAAAAGGTTCTTAATATAAGGCCAATTAAAACACAGTGCCAGTTGGTCTGGTTCTTCATAAGGTGAGGAAGAAGATGTGGACCTTACTGATTAGTCTGCCATATCATGACTTATCCCTAAAAGTTGGGAAGGATAATGACTATTGGGTGACATCTCTGTGCTTTTGTATGGACTCAGCATGCTCATGCTTCTGTACAGTTCTCTGGTGTGCACCAAGTGTCATAAAGTAGGTTATTATATACCTAAATTGGCCCATATACACATACTGAATATAAGTGATTGAATTCCAAGATTACCAGTAAAATTCTAAGTTTCTTAAAAGCTATTACAACAAAATTGAATGATACATTTGTTTGACTTCAAGAGCAGTTAGCCAAATAACATTGTGTTTTTCTTGTTGGTCTGCTTTTAAAATAATAACCATTTATGTTGGATTTAAAATTTAAAAATGAGAATAGGTTAACAGGTTTAGAAATAAAAACAATCACGGATATATTTTTTAAGTGTTTCTGTTTTGTCCAAGGTAAAATAGAAGAGAATGTTGGGGGAAAGGAGAACATGGTATGCAGTTCTTAGGAACTTAATTTTAAAAGTGGCCTTTAAGTCACTGAAGCAGTTCTACAGTGAGATGAAAGATCTTTCCCTCATTGAAGACCTGCAGCTCAAGTGCAATCTCTCTCTCTCTCTCATGTTGTTTTGGCTTGAGTGAGAGAGGCCAAATCACCTTTTCCATTTCCATGAATCAGTGTTGAGATGTTCATTTGCATTCTATGGACAACACCATTCAGTCTGAGGTATTAATACTTCTTGTCACTATTGGACATCCTTAAAAAAAAGTAAGACAGTATTACCGAAAATGGCTATTTTGTAAATTGTTCTTGAATTCAGTCTATAATAATGCTAATAGGCTCCATTATACTGAAAGGGAAGACGTACACATTTTAGCAAAACTTGGAGCAGTTTGTTAATCAGTACAAAATCAACTGTAGTATATAATCTGGATTCATTGCCTGGCGTCAGCTGAAGTAAACTGATGTCCCTAATTTGTTAAATATGTTCACATTAAATTCTGTATGGCCATCAGTCATTTTCTATTAACCGCAAATAATACCCAAATTTACTACTGCCTTTTCATCCATTAAAATTAAACTGATTTTGGGAAGTCCCTAATGAGACATTGCATTTTAACATAATTTTTATTTATTAAAAGAATAGATTTAGATCTGTTGAAATTAACAGTCTTTAAATTAGTTAGGACTACCTTAGATAATTTGATTTCAATGGGTCCGCTGTCAAAGCAAATCTGCATTCAACTATATACTATTGATATATTTTTAGCTTAATATGTTTTTCTTTAATAGTGTTTCTCAAAGTTGAATGTTGCCTTAAACTTTTTTTAAAAGATTGTATACTTAATCCCAAATAATTGTTTTCTCAGGCCAAACATATCTATTGTCTTTGATTTACTCAGGGATTTTAGTCCTTCCTTATAATGTCAGATGTTTTTGTGAAAACATTTTTGTATTACTAACATTCAGACATCCAAGTTATGATTGGATTTGATGTTTATAGTGTGGAATACATTAAAGCAACGTCAAGGCTTCCATTTGATTTAAGAATTATCTTTTCCTGCAATGCTTCATATTTTCCCCCTTCTTTTATCCTTGTGAAACATAAAAGCCTACTGTATAGTAATTCTTGGATTTTGTCTAGAAACCTTCATATGTAAGAGCAAATTATGTGCAAAGACAATTGGCTTATTAGCTATAGCCCATTTGGCTAGAATACAATGTCAGGTCTTGATAGAGATAACAATCAATGATTTTGTGTACATATTCTGCATTTGAGCTATCAGAGTGGACCCTTATGAAATGCTGCGATCTTTTTCATTCATCTTGGCACATTTGGGACCACATAAAATAATCTCATTTATGGAAGCCAAATGTTCTATAAGTGGATTACTTTTGCTGGACAAAATGCATGTCTGTTTTGCTTTTTTAAAAATGGCATCCTGGATATAAATTGGGTGGTACTGAAAAAGTTGATATATTAAAATAAACAAAAGACACAAATATGTATGCGTATTACGCCTGTAAAAAATTAAAATTGAAGCTTTATTCTCATTCTAATTCTTTTAACACAAAACATACTGCTTGAAGAAATATTTCAGTCAAATCCTGTAGTTATTCTTTAGTGAATTCACCCCAAAATGAGATTATACTGTCCCATAAAAAAACATATGCATTAGAAGCTTTCTATAAAGTGTTGATTAAAGATTAATCTTTGCAAATTGTACTTCAGTCAGCCTTAACTACATATCTGTGAACATGTTCAGTTTAACAATCATTGAATAATTATGGATTGTTTCTGGGAGAAAATTCTATTTTTCTGAATTGTTTTTTGACTGATAAATATTGTGTTTCTCTTTCAAAATTTCTGACTTGTTCTTTGGTGCTTTTCTGAGAAAAGTTATTCCAGTTTAAATTACTTTTGTCCTCTATATTTCTAGCCTTTCCTTATTTATAGTAACGAAGTCATCTTTAATATTTTTATTTATATAATGTAACTTTATCAGAGCAAAAGACTTGAAATATTTAAATTATTTAAAAGTTTCCTTTTTAGGATACAACTCTTCTTTAGTTTGACAGTGAACAATCAGAAAAGCTTGAATGATATTGTGCCACTCAAGTATTTATTCTAAGGTCCTGATTGCTATATAACTAAATATGTCAACCCCAGGAAGCTTAGATTATCCAGCGCTTTTTCAAATATATATTTGCCAAATAGAATTGTATTTGCATATAAAGTAAAATACAAAATTGCATGAGGATTTCATCTTAATGGAGAAATTACTAACATTCTGGCTCCATTTGATATTTAGTTTGTGTTTGGTTTCCGCAAATAGGCTTTCTCTGATTCTAACAAACTATTGTGCTGCATTTGGATATTTTCAGTAAATGAAGTTACCTTATAAAAACCATAATCACAATGCAGTGCAGTTCTTGGCTACATATATATTATTTCTAGAGCACTTTCTTTAGAACTATTCATTTAATATGTTGTCTATGTTAAAGTAATGAATAGATGAAAAAAATAAGATGATGTAGTCATGTAACACTACTGCCATTTCTGGTACAGTCTTTACTAAGACATTCAGCGAATTATAAGAAATATGATCTTGGTTTAGGTAGCATTATGGTTGATATCTGTATTGATGCTTGCCTGCTTTTTTTCTAAATATGACAAAGTTTTTGTTAAAAACAGAGAAAGCTGCCCTGTAATTTGATGGATCCAACAAAAGCAGTGAATTATTGAACACGTTTTACTGATGTTAATCTATGAAAATATGTCAGGTAACCCTTTATTAAAATATACAGTTGTATCCCATCCATTTATACTTCCCTTCAGGAGTGCTGATTTATGCCTTTAAAGGGCTTATGTAATTGTGTTGTCTTTCTGGATGTGTCTTAGTATTAGCAAAATATGCTAGAGAAGAAAATCCTCCGTTACAATGCATAGTAATTCTAATCAGCTCTGTCTTGTGGGAGGAGATCACTGCATTTTCCATCAACAGATGTCAGCTATGTAAGTTGTTGCTTTACTCATTTGCTTCTCTGAGGTGTATGGCAGTAGGATCTGAATACAGAATGTTGCAAACTGTAGAATACTAATTATTACTGAGTACATAGAACATTAATTTACACTTGCAGTCATATACAGAAGTTTCAAGGGCAAAGGATTATGGCACCCATAATCTTTTTAATGCATTGCCAATATTATGTGCTAATTTCATAGCTTCTCTCTTTGTGTAACATTTCCAAATAAGTTGCATATGAAATCCTGTGAGAAGGCAAGGTGATTTGTTTGTTTATTTAAATAACCTAGTATGTGTTAAAATTACACTTGGACCTATATGTACATTTGTGTTGTAATAGACTTTATTTGATTATAAAAATCATAAAGATTATTTCTGAAAGGAAGTGGTGGACTAATTGACACAAAGTAAATCTGAAACAGTACACTTCCCATGGTAAAAATAAAATAAAAACATCTATGTTCTCCTCTGGTTTCAGAATCAGTGTCTCTATTTTTCTTTTTCTGTAATTTTCTATAAAAGTTTGTATTAAAGACTTTAATTTAGTGGCAGTTAATCTTTCCTGCCCCTTCTATAGTTCCCAATAACTGGAGGGAATCTCTCATGTCAGGATCAGCTTTCGGGAATACAATGATAGAATTTTTACTGAGAAATGGGAGGAAAGCTGGATACACCTGCAATTTTTACCTCTAACCCATATTTTCTGTATGAAGTGGATGTGAAGAACATTTTTAATAATGCTGGGGATTATTAGAGACATGCAGTAATTCCATTAAAGTGATTTAAAACCATGGAGAATGAAGCAAAGATTTTGCAACCTTGAGTGAAAATTCTTGATCTTTAATGCAATTTGAGGTAAAATAAAGGTGAAAATGTATTCAGTAAAACCCATTGGGATAAGACCATTTAACACCCCCACACACACACTGACCCTTTCCCCATTATATATGAGAGAGAGAGAGAGAGAGGAGAGAGGTGAGAGGAGAGAGAGAGAGAGAGAGAGAGAGAGAGAGAGAGAGAGATTTAAAACACTCTATGTCCCACAAAGAGCCAAGATTTTGGAGTCTTAAGTGATACAATCGGCTATGTTGCCAGGAAATTTTAAAAGTTCCCAGTCATAAGGTGCCATTTCCTGATTTTAAAAAAGTATGAATAGAAGGCAATATAATTAAACCAGTGGGATATTTTGTTTTTTTCAATGGATGAGCCCTCTTTGTATGAGTGCCTCTCTTTGGTAGGGATATCTCATCAATTAGGATAGATAGATAGATAGATAGATAGATAGATAGATAGATAGATAGATAGATAGATA